ATTTTCATTATGTGCTCATTTTTAATTTTCTTATTTGTTCATTAAAATTCTCACTGCAAACTACAAAAAATGTGCCAATGTATCAACCATTTTACATACTACAAGATCACAGTAATATACTAAATTAATTAGAGATTAATGCATGTTTTTTGTAGGGGAGTCAAATTTTCATAGGGGAACCACATTTTCATTATGTGCACATTTTTAATTTTTCTTTTTTTAAATGAAAATTTTCACCTGCAAACTACAAAAAAGTGCCAATGTATCATCCATTATGCATACTACAAAATCATAGTCATTTACTCAAATAAAATGAGATTAATGAATGTTTTTTTGGGGGGAGTCAAAATTTCATAGGGGGAGTCACATTTTCATTATGAAAATCTGACTGGGGAGTCACATTTTCATAATGAAAATCTGACTGGGGAGTCACATTTTAGGGGAGTCAGATTTTCATGGTACACCGGTATAAAGTCAACACATGAAAAGGTTAAGTGAGCAAGCTAGCTTTACAGGTAGCAAAATGAGACAAAACTATACAAACTAGATAATAGAAGGCATGTTTGTGCATGCAAGATTGTTTGTGCTCTAGACATCGATCAGCTTGATAACGTAAGATGGGTCGTATTTCGACTCCTTGATTTTTGTTTGTTTGTTTGTTTAGGTTTGAAATTTTGACAATACTACATCAAATGTTAGCATCGGAATTAGACCCATGGAGGAGGTGTCCCAACACTGGGGAGAGGAGAGAGAGAGAGAGAGAGAGAGAGAGAGAGAGAGATTGGGAGATGTCAATAACGGGAAAAAATAATGAAAAACAAAAGCTTGCAGAACACAGGAAATTAAATGATCTGGAATGACCATAAATGAATATCACCCATCAGGGCCACAACTTTAATTGGATTGATTCATGGAGTCACGGTAAAACAAAAAATTACAACATTAAGCATAAAACGGGGTTTAAGACTCACGTATGTATTAGAGACGCTCACGCTTCATTTCAGGGTTGGTTTAATTATTATCAGTGATTTGAATATGGCAAAACGTGGGAGTTCGTGCGTGAGGAGCACGTCCATCGTGCGACTTTTGGAGGACGCAAACAGATCAACAGCCGCTACGTGCGGTCTAGCTACGTCCTAGCCGGACGCAAGGAACCTAAAAACCGTGCGTGGAAAACGTAGTTGGGACCTAGGCTTAATACCCATATCGCACGGCGACTGATCGGAGTTAGACGGTGGCTGTGCGAAATAGCACGAAATCGTACGGATTTAAGGCCATGTAATGTAGACATACTCTGCGTAGCTCTTTACGATTAAAAAAATAATAAAATCGCATGTACAATTTCATCACACGGCGCCCGTAGAAATGTAATCAAGGCTTATGGCAGTCGCCGTGCGTCTTCTGTGCGATGCGTTATCAAACCAAGTTTTTTTAATACGCGCAGTCGCCGTGCATTTTCTGCGAAATGACCCTGAAATCTGTCGAAAAGAATCGGTTTATTATAATTATTATTATTGTTACATTTTACTCTGTAAGTAAATAACAGCTAAAGGAAAGAAACTTGATTGAATGTTTTCTTTTTCAAAAGTTTGGTTTCATTTATTTTGCACCTTTATTTTGTTGATTCAACTTTGTTGATAAAATTCAATTTTTCAGTGTGCTCTCCAAATCTTGTTCATATCTTAACATCGGTATTATATATAAAATTCAAATTTTCAATGTGCTCTCCAAATTTTGACACGTGCTTCCCTTGACCAAGGTTTCTTCCATTCCCATTAATTAGTTTGAAATTAACTAACTTATTTAATATAATGAGCTTTTATAAAACGCGATCTGCATTGCGGATGCTATTTCATTTGTACATGTACATGTACACTGCCTTGCTGTCTTTCTTCCCTCTAAATATCAGTTTTAAGACAGTGATAGTATGTTTATGATTACTTTTGGGCCCCTAATGAAGAAGTTTGTATCAACGTTTCACTGTACTGAAACCTTGAATACAGTTAATAAAAAATAATCCATCGTCTAACCCCACAAAGGGACATACCAATACGTTACTGTCACAAATGCAAAAACGTTTTACTCACTTTGAAAATTCAATCATCACGGTTTTTTGTTCTTTAATTTATCTCCTACAAGTATAACGTTATAAAAAGTTATGATAATCTTTTGTATAGAGCAATTAATTTTTTTCTCTTTTTTTTGAGCGACGTTAGTTTGCTTGTCACTGAATATTATCAAGGAGGATACACCTCACCGACAGTAAAGTAAGCATAAAATAAACTATTGCATTCGTGGTCCAAATATTATATCAGAAATGTCAAACTATCATGGAATAACAATATACTTTTCAGAAAGCAGCAGAAACCCTGTTTCCTATTGCACTAAGTAGGCCCTACTTGGGCAAAATGAAAATTTCTGACGTTACGTAGTATTAACCATGACGCAAAGCCCCTCGAATTACAGTTTCAATATTTATAAAAACCACCTTACGTCATATGTTATTTACCATGACTGAATCCTTACAAAATTTATCTGAACTCGATATAAAATTAAAATTATATGACCCAGAACATACGTTACCGGAACATAAGTTACTATTTAGGCTCCTTACAGAATGTATAAGCATGGTTAAAATTACATGTAAATGTAGTGTAAAATTGAGACGGATTTTTATTCTATACAATATATATATTTTAAAAAATTAAATACAACTTGGAATTCATTCAATTCAATTTTTTTGAAATTATTTTCGTGGGAAAATGCACCTCGGTATTGGGTTTGGGTTAGTAGTGAAATTAGTGTGATGTAGATCGCGCGCTACCACAATGAATTACAGTAGGACTGTTTGTGTGTGCGATATTCCTTGTGCTGTAGATAACGGTCATCTTGATTGCGTACGCTGGGTCTTGTTTCGCTTGATTAATTTTGTTTGGTTGTTTGTTTAGGTTTGATATTTTTACGCCACTGCATGTTATGTTATCATCGAAATCAGACATATCGATGAGGGAGGTGATGGGGGAAGGGCAACAAACTGTGTTTTACATTACTGGGGGGGGGGGGTCAATCACAGGAACAAGCAGAATGGAAAACAAAACTCAGTGATCACAGAAAATGAAATCTGCAATGACCATAAATAAATATATCATCCTTAATAGGCAACAACTTAAATTGGATTGATTGACGGAGTCACGGAAAATAAACAGGGGATGAATTGGGACGATTGAGACTCACGCTTCACTTCTAGATTGGCTTAATTACTGTCAGTTGTCATAATATGAATAATGATGAAACCGAACTTTAGCTTTACTGGGCGCATGTTTGATACCTGAACTTAACCTGTAGATAAGTCAGCATTACGTCAGCATTATTTACCACAAAGGGGAATGCCCTTAAAAAATTCCAGAACTAATT